GTACATTGCCTTAGAATTCCTGGATAGATTCTGTAGCATTTCAGGTACAAAAGAATACAGAGCTTTTTTTTGGGGGGGGGGGACATATTGGTTTGAATTGAGTTAAGATCCTGCTTGATTTTCCTTAGAGATTTGTTAACATTTATATACAAGATTAATTTCTGAGCACAAGACAGGATTATAAAATTAAGAGTTAGTTCCGTGAATATTGATATTTGTCTGCTTTTTTTACATCAATTCACAATAATTACTATATTTTCCCCAGTACAGACTCTTAGAACACATACTTGCTCAGGTTTCAAGTTCCTATACCTTCAAGTCTCCACCAAACCCAGAAAATACAATCTGCTTTTGGTTTAAATCCCATTTTTGCTTCTATCATACTTTCTGTTAAAAAAATAAACCAATTTTTATTTTCTATATCCCTGTTATCACAAGTTAATAGATGTAGTAATAAAAATGATGGAATTCAAACTGTTCAGTAAAACTTAAATTCATTTAAATTACAACAGAACAAAATGACTTTGTTTGCTTACTTTGTGCTATTTCCATCCAAATTATACTTGGGATTATAAAACAAAATGGAAAGTATGCCAGTTTTGATTTAGAACAGGGATCTCCAACCCCTGGGCCACGTCAACTACTGTGGCCTATTCAGAATTGGGCCATGCGAGTGGCAGCCAAAATGCATGCACGCTCACGCAGCTCAACTTGTGCGAGTGGTGGGCCGGCGGGTACTTGCACATGGCAGCCTGTTGGTCACACAAATCGAGCTGCGCACATGCGTGCCAGCCCACCATTCACCCAAGGGCTGCGTGCACACAGGTGCGCCAGCCCACTGGTTGTGCAACCCAGTTCTTCTCTCCCCACAATTGGGTCGCCAAGCCGCAGAACACAAATTTCCCTAATTCTTCGTGGCATTTCATGATAATGATGGTATCCATTCAGTTGTGTCTGACTCTTGGCGATTTATGGGCCAGATCTCTCCACATCTTCTGATTTTGCACTATTTTTTTTAGATGTTCTATGCTCTGCCTGGTGTAATTTCTGATGGTGTCCAGCCACTGTGGGAACAATTCCTATTAAATATTTTCCCAAACCCAAATGTTATTTTTAATGAGTTCTTGTCTAAAAGTTAAGTACCTACATAGCCTTTGATTTCTAAAATGTCTTACCACTGGATGAAAATTTAAAATTTCAGTTTGGTCATGTGTTCAAAATATTTCTCCTTTAGCACCTGCTCACAGAACCATCCTATCTTATTAAACTAAAGTTATTAAACTAAAGTTGTCTTCAGACAAAGTCTACAAAGGAAAATAGTACCCAATATAGCATTAACCTATAAATACCAATCATAATTGAAAACTCTGTAATGATGTTCTGGTTTTCTTTAATTATATCATGATTCTAGGTTTTAATGGGTATAGAAAAAGGAAAAAAAGAAACATTATAATCAGATGTAGATCCTATAACTGTTAATAACTGTAAAGCTATTTTTATTTTTTAATATTTTAATTATTGATTATCCAATATTTAATGTAAATCAAATAAATGATCCGTTAATATAGATCAACAGTGCCATCTAGAGAAAGAACAGCAACTTGCAATGATTTGTGACCCTTTTTAATTGCACCACTAAATTCTGGAATAATGGCCAGAAATTAGATATGTGATTTGCCACAGTTCTTCAGCAAAATGTTGTTATGACATGCACTGCATAAGATTAATGTATTGACCCATATAAACAAACCAAAATCAAAGCTTATTTACTCACATTTATTTAATATGGTCCACAATTGTGCAAAGTTTTACTGTCTACACTCTAAAACTAACCTGACTAATATCTTGGGCTGCCTCAGGTTTCTTGGTCAGGAGCCATACAAATCATAAAATCCTAAGATAGGATTGGAAGAGACCTTGGAGGTCTTCAAGTGTAACCCCTGGTAGAAATTCTCAAACCATCTCAGGCAAATGACATTCCAACAACCTTTGCTTGAAAGCTTCCAGTGATGGAGTATTTATAACCCAAGGAGGCAGACTGTTTCACTGCTTGACAGCTCTCATAATCAGGAAATTCCTCATGTTTGGCTCTCTTTCTATAAAGCTTCCCACTCATTGGTTTTTATTCTCCCAGAATCGTTGGAAGTGAGGCAACATATAAATGTAATATATAATCATGTTATGGTCAGTTGGACAACCAGATGTTTAGATTGGATTTGGCATTTTTATCCACCTATCAATGAAGGACCTGGAATAGGAAGATTCTGTTCTTTGATGATGTAAGCTGTTCCAGGTAAGGTTGCCTTTTGCCATTGACTGATAGTGATTTTGTCAATGCCAGTGGTGTTAATGCTCCAATTGTTTGGAGATTGCATCCAAGGAGCTTATTATTATTATTGGTACTATCTTTGTTTTCTTTTGCCACAACATGTCCATTCTCTTAATCGATTTCCATAGGATTTAGACTCCTGAAATTTTACTTTTGTTACATGTCCCTCTTTTTTACTTTTGTTACATGTCCCTCTTTTCATTTTTTAAACTTGTCATTATCATTTTTCTTGTTGTTGTTATTCTCAGTTGATTACAGAACTGTATTTTTACCTCCAAAATCCTCTATTCTTTCCTCAGGCCTTGATCTTGTGTTGGAAGTATGAACAAAAATACTACTTGTGCTCCAACCATTTTTGCTTTCCTGCCTAACCCCTAATAGTCACTTGATAATTCTTCCAGATTGCTTCTGGCAGTGTCATTGTTCCAATGTGAAATAGAAGAAAAGGACTATGATCAATAGGATTGATTAATCAGGTTAGTGTCTCTCCATCACTCCATCACTTGGGAAACAGCATATTTCCCTTGATATCAAGTCTGTAGACTGCCGACTCCAATTCTCTCAAGAACAGGTCACCCATCATCACAACATACCTTTGGCACTGTAGTTGGATTTCTCGCCTCCATGGAAACTCAACCTTCCCTCTTCCCTGTCTCTGGAATGCTGAGAGAAAACTCTTTCCCAGAAGTTAAGTCTGTTTCTGCCCTCATGAATACTTGCATCTTTAATCTCTTTCTAACTCATACCTTCCCATCACCTCCCTTTATCTCAATGTCCCAAGCAGGGGTATCCCAATCATTCATCTGTTTGTCACGTTTACAGTCCCCTAAGCCAAGACATTCAGCTCTTCTCTTTCTATCATCTGGTTTGTTATTTTGTTCCAGCCAAAAACATTTTTCAAAAATCTTTACTGCAGAGCAAGGGCTATTCTCATCCCATCTGTCCCATCCATTGGGTGGCACTGGGGGGGGGGGGTTGGCGGTGGCAGGAAATGAAAACTGAAAAAAATATACAGCAGGTAGAAAGTATCCATTTTCTGAGCCTTCTCACACTTCAACTCTGTCACAGAAAAGGAGTCAATTAACCTCCACTGACTCCTCAGATAACAGATAACCCCAAATAAGACAGTTGATCAGGGCCACTTATTTTAGTCTGGAACAGATCCAGAACCATTTGGGGCAAACAGTTACCTCTCAAGGTTATTCAACTGAATCAGAGGCCAAAGCAAGATCTTTTTGTTTTGGTTGTTTTGCTTTGTTTTGCTTGATAAACTTCATCACCCAACAATATAGTATTGTAAACAATAAAATATATGTTTATTTCCCATTTTTATGATTATATGGTGAACATCTGGTGGTTTTTTTTATGCTGTGCCCTTATACAAATGGATTTTTTCCTATTAGTTTTGGTATCTTTGATTGAAGGATTATATGCCCTCAAGTCATTTTCAATTCCTAGTGATCATATAGGTAGATTTTCTCCATGAGTGATATTTTTAAACAGCTATTTGGTTTCGTATAGTTGTCACTAAATTCATAACATTCTGAAACATGTACATAATTTTTAAAGGGTATTTAATGATGTTCCTCATCTCTTGCCTGAAAACAGTTTAAAATCTCTCTGATCTTTTTTTTTTAATCTAATGCTAGTGTCCTGCATTCATCACTGTAATACAACTGGAACGGTCTGTCTGTTTTGCACTAAAATCTGTTCTGGCACTCTTTATCCCAACAATTGAGATTCCTGTTGCCTGTTTATCAGCTCCCAAGTAGAGAAAAAGAGAAGAGGGTAAAAAAGCAACCTTTCTTAAAATGCTTCTTTTGAAGGTTTGAGGCTTCCCAAAAAAATTTCTTTTTCCTTCAGTGCCACCCTAACCTTCTGCACATTACATTCGGTGCCTAATCATACAGCTAAAATGTTCATGAGAAACCAGCTTACTCTAATAAATATCCACTAACATAGCTCTTCTATCCCCAAAAGGCACAAACAACAAACGATGCCAGTTTATAATCTCTCCCACTTCCTCAGAATATTTGCCTTCTGCCCACAGACCTTCATTCTCGGATGCACTGCAACTGCCTCTCTAACATACGTGTTATGGACACACATACATATCTGCGTTCTCAGATTTTCTAAATTAGGTGCCACATGGCCTGGAATACTGTACCCAGCAGCTCAAGATACTAAATACACACATACACAAACACACACACACACACACACACATCCATATATATATACAGCTTCTGTTCATTAGAAAGAGTCATCCATGCCAGTTCTTGCCATTACTCTGATTTTATATGTTTGAAGTCAGATGAAAGTCTTAATTATGTGAGAAGTCTGTTTAATGCAGAAAGTAGAGAAGCCGAAAGAGGGCCTCATCAGTGAAATATTGCCTTATTGCACTGTTTCTGGCAATCCCAGTGACAATTTCTTTAAACTAATTATTTCGGATAAGACCAAGAATGCAACCATGCATGCTTTGAAAACACTTGGGACACACCCCAACTCTACAAGCTGTGAATCTGCCACGGGGCAAAAGTCATTCCCCCTCTTCTCAACCAAACCCATGGGTTTGAGGCACCTTGACAGCAACCCAGTGCCCCAAAGCGGGGCTTTTTTTTCCTAAGTTCCCCATCCGCGCCCACCTTCGCCCAGTTCGAAGACTTACCGTGCAGCAAGAAATGGAGGCTTTAGCCAGCCAGAGAGATTCGAACAAGCGAAGCCACCACGCTCACGCCTCGAGTGCAAGCAGGGACGTGCTGAGGGTGCACATGCCCGGGGAAAAAAAAAACCCAAAAGGCTCTGACCGCCTTGAGGCGAAGATATAGGCTATATATGTCTGCGTGTGGTTTATTGGGTTTTTGTTTTGAAAAAGAACGCTACCTGTCCGTCACGCCCCCTGGCTAGCGGAGCAGCCGCTCGCCGACTCGCTCCCTCCCTCCCTCGCCGTGGCTTGGGTGCCTCGTTGAGTCTTTGGAGGCGCGCGTGCGCGTCTCCGCGCTTGCCGCGAGGAGGAATTCCAGCTTGTGACGTCAATCGGGGCGAGGGAAAGCGCGCGTCCTTCCTCGGGCGGCCGTGGACTTCTTCCCCCCCCCCACCCTTGGAAGATGTCGGCTGTCAGCGTGAGCGTCACCTCTTCCATCCTAGTTGCTGGATGAAGAAGGGCACGTCTGCCTGGTTGCTGGAAACAGCGGCGGAGAGGAGGAAACAGCGAAAGGAGAAGCGCGCAAATACAAGCGCGGGAGGAAGAAAAGGAAAAGAAAAAAAAAAAAAGCCGGGAATTCCGAATCTCGGGAAGCGACGGCTTTCTTTCACCCTCTCTGGTGGTGGAGACCCTGAAAGGAAAGGCTCGCCTCCCAGCGCAGAGGGCCCGAGGGTCGACAGCGGTGCGGTGAAGGCCAGCGACCAAGGACCTTCAGCGCCCAGACTTCGGGGCCAGAGGCCGGGAGCTTCCAGGCAGCCGCTGGGAGCCTGGCTGTCGACGACGGCCGTGTAAATGGGCTCCGCACGGACACACAGACTCAAGTTTTGTAGCTGGAAGGAGATTTCTGCCTCCATTTTTCACAATGACTGCCGTGCAAAAAACAAAAAAGAGTTTATTTCCAAATAAATATGTTCGGTGTCAGGGAAGCAGAAACATGAGGGTTTAAATCACTGTCATTTGCTCACTATGTTGCCTTCATTTTTGGTGTAAATTATTAGGAGTGCCAGGAACAGGTGCGAAGCTCGGAGGCCGGCGGAGAGGAATGGAGGCAGAAGGGAAGGAGGGCTTACAAGAGAAACGAGGCAACAGAGCTATACTAAAAAGAAATCTGCTGTCTCCCCTGCCAAAGCAATCTAAAGGGTGAAGCTTTTTAAAGCTGAAGAGCTTGACTCCAGTAATTATTTCCTCCATTGCTAACTTCATACAGTTCATATTGCATACATAAAATGTTTTGTTACAATCTAAAAGGCAAAATTTGGAGCTGATGTTACTTTTTACAAGGAAAAATGTGAATGAACTAAAAAATTTAGTCTTTGAAGTTTTCCAATAGATTATCCTCAGTAAGAAACAGAGTCAAATTTGTTTAAAAGAAAAAAAGGTCATCCAGTTCCAGTCTATAATTTAAGAAGACAAGTGAGGGGTGAGTAAGAGCTGTTTCACACTTTGGGTAGGAATCATGTTCGCAAAAGATATACAGATGGTTGCCATATTAAACAAAAAAAAGTGTGAAGGACAAGTGTTCCTTAGCGCTTCAAAACGTAGGACATCCTGGTGCATTTTAAAGTGTGTCTGTGTGAATATCTACTTTTTACATGTCCTACAAAAAAGACTAAACCAGTTTTGCAAGAAACAGATTCCAATTCAAGGCACATTGAACTGAACACTGTGTGGGCAACCCTTCAGTTATTTCTTGTGAGAAAGACAAATCTAGACAGAATATTAAAATGGAAAGCATTCACACTGATAATAAAGACACTATTATCATGGCAATCATCTTCCCAGTTTTAATATGGTTGTGAAAGCCAGACATCAGAAAGGCTGAATGAAGAAAAACTAAGGTCCAGGCTCAAAAAAAAAATGGAGAATACCTTGGGCCACAAAAAGAACAAGTTAAATAATCCTAGATTAAGAAAATGAAAAGCGATCACTGAAACATTCATTATAAAGCTAAAATTTATCTGTTTTGGATACCAAAATAGAGTCCTTGAAGAGTCCTTGAAGAAAGCTTGATAGCTGGTGAAATGGAAGCCAATTGAAAAATAGGCTGGCAGAAAGCAAGATGGCTAGACACCATTACTGATACCATGAGCATAAGTTTATAAAAATTGTTGACAGTCCTGGTGAACTGTTCACATCACGAAGAGTCATAAGCAACAACAATAGAAACCCCTCTTGTGATATCCTTTTCTGTATAACACTATGGTATAAAGTTTAGCATGCTACAGTTTAAATAAGCTTCAAGTTCTATTTCATTCCAATATCCAGTAATAGTACACCCTGTTTTAATAGCCTAGCTTGATTCCACCCATGGACATTGTCTTTTTATTTGAAGTCCCTAACTACCGATGTGTTCAGGTGTCCAGCACTTATGCCAGCTTGCGAGCATCGGTTACACTCTCCCAGATTCTCTAGTACCTGATCCAAATTTCACAAGCCCAAGATCCTTGCTGTTTTACATGTGCAGAGTGTTTTATTCTCTATCATGCTCCAGAATGTTCACATTATTTCTAACACAGGCAGCCCCTGAAGTTGGAAGTCCAAGACAAGGGAAACCCCTCTAGACTTTTTGGTATATCATAATGCTACAAAGCCAAGCAGCCTCCCTGTATTGGAAAGAAATCATAAAATAATTCATTGTAGTCCTTAAAATTCTTGTGCTTTTTGATGTTCAAGCATGGAATTTAAGGTGTTACACAGAATCTTCTGAGATTCTGAGACAAGCTTAAGTCATTTTTATATATGTATTCCTAAATAACTTTTCAGATACCTACCTCATTAAAACATTCATTCTGAAAAAAAACAAAGACTCCAGTACTATGAGGAGTCTTAGAAACATGATTTTCTAAGAACAAGAGGAATGCCTGCATGATGGCATTTGCCATTGCAGGCATTTTAATAAATACTTGTTTTCAAATTTTATTTTTTAAATATCTGGCACCCATCATTTTTTATTCCATTGAAATTTTCTACAATATAGTACTTATTTTTAGAAAACATTTTACAGTTATTTGGGTTCCACTGCTAACCTGAAGGAATCCTTTCTTGAGTTCAGTCATGGATAAGAATGTACAATATACAGCCCATGGTGAAACCATAGTGCATACTACTTTTATTTTTATTTGTATTCATTTTTAAAAGTGTTGTTGGAATGCTAAGTTTTTTGAATATAATATTCCATCTATTCTTGGCATATCTTCTGAGTGCTAATTATGCTAAAGGCAAGTCACTTTGGGAGAATTAGTTAAGGAATAAAAATGCATCTGTATAATATGAGAAACAATGCATTTTTTCTGTTTTACCTTAAATCCTTGTAAGGGTTTATTTTGTCAACTTTATGCTATATGCTATAAAAGGCAAAAAAACCACAACCTTACCAAGCATCTTGTAAGTGGGGAATGGGGAAAAAATTGTTTACCTGGAGGTTTGTGCAGGCATTAAAGATCCTTATTTTTTTTTAAAAAAAGGTACTAAATAAACTGTGTTCTATTTTATGAGAACAATGTCTTCTGCAAACTTCCAGATACATTTCAAAAACCATGTTGTCTGGAATTCGGGAGTTGAAATCTGGGATTACTACCGGTAATACCGGCTGTCAAAGCATAAAGTCATGATTATTTAAACTATACGCAAGGACAAAAACTTGCAGAATGAAATGCCAGACCTGGTTCACAAATAAGGGCAGGCAAGACTTTTTCAAACAATTATTTCTTGGCCTGTAGATTGTGGCCTGGCCATATAAATCATTAAGTAAGTTTGCACACCACACTAATGAACAAATCACCTTTTTGACTGACATCATTTATGAAGTAGGCTAGTGTACTAGTTATTTCATTTCCAAGTTCCTGCATGATAAATCTAGTAAAAAAGTGAACTAACACAATTTATTAAAAAGCATAAGTATTCATGAAGTACAGTTCGCTTCATTCAAATTTAATCGATAGCTCAAGAAAGCTTATGCCTTTTGAAAAAAATCTATTGGTCTAGAAAGATGGATAAAGATAATGTTTATAGTTTTAATAGATATATGTATTATGCTGTTTTATTGATGTTGTTTTAATTGTTAATTGAGAGCCACACAGAGTTTGATACAAGATGGGAGGCTATATAAATGTTTTAAATGAATAAAATTAAAACATAAATTCAAATAATTTTAGTGGAGAGAAACCTACTGAATTTATCAAATTCTCCATAAAAATTTAAAACATTTAAAATTCTAGTTTTTAAAACACTTGAGATTGCTATATGTGTGGAAGAACAAGACGGATTACAATCTAATAATGAGTTAAACACAAACACTGGTTTTTATATAAACCTTTGAAGTATTTTAATTATATTTTTACATAACAGATGAGCAAAAGTTACCGCTAGTGCTTCAAGATTTAGAATACAGTATGTATGTCCAGGAAATTATCCATAAAAATATGTTTATGTTACATAACATATTGCAGCATATATACTTCTGGGTTAGTGCCTTTAGCATCCTCTTGGTATCAAAAAAGATAAGCCAGAATTTTCTTATCACTGTGATATGGTTCATAAACTTGGTGCATGAGCATACATAACAGCCTTTCATTGACGTCATCAATGATCTACTCGCTGATGATAAAGTCATACATGTACTTCAAAATCTAGCAAAACCAAAGAGGCTCCATAGTCCACTCTGTATTGAAAGTGCTTCACAATTTACCAAAGCCGAGAAGCCCACAGAGCTGTCAGCCAGCTGCGTAGTTGCTAAGGAATGAATAGAACATAGGAAGCTTCAAGCGTTGTTGGTCCTTGCGACACCAAGAGATCACTGTTCCTTCATTATTTGCTGTGTACAAATGATGGCCATCACACGAAAAGGTAAGGCTATAAAGTTTTCAAAAAGACACAAATAAAAACAAGTCTGTCAGATAGCCTAGGTCCTACGGTATATATCATTAAAGGGGGAGAGGAAGAGAAAGAAAAGGATATAGCCTGTGAATGGGCTAAAGTCCCACTAAGTCTAGCCCGTCCTACTCAGGCCGGCCGAGAGGACCTACTGTAGATCCCTTCGGTCAAAGAACTCCAAGTGTCACTGTCGGGATCCAGAAGAAGAGCCTTCTCTGC